CTCAAGGAAAAAACAAATAATCCATACAACACACTCACCAAACCCATGTTCCAAAATTATTTTCCTGTAACATGGTCACTATGAACTCCAATTATGGAAATTAAAACAAAAAATGAAAACCAAATCAATAAAGAAGATTTCTCATGGATAGATACAGTAAAGGATGTTATCAATATAATAACAAATGTAATAAGCAATGTGAATTCAGGTAAATCAATGATAGAAATAATCATAGAAGCCATGAAAGAAATAATGCCAATAATTATTTTTAAAAAAATGAAACACTTAAATGAAGGAAATAATCCTTTGGAATACAGAATCAACCCTGAACAAAAATAGAATTAATTTGCTAAATAAATAAAGAACAGCCAGAAGTAATATAACTGTGAAACATGGCAGAAGAATAAAGATGAATTTGCTATACAAAATTATCAAGTAATGAGAAACAACAATAGGGATCAAAGAGGTGGGAGCTTTGTTTTTGTTTTTTTTTATATATATATATAAAAAAGGACCTACAATTTAGAAAAAAATTATGGAGGTGGCAGATACAAAAATGGATAAGTGACAATGGGAATAAGGAGACCCCTCCACCACCATTCCCATGCTCTTTGTCGGGGGGGTTAAGAAGACAGGGACTGAGGCCCAATAAAGGGGATCACTCCTACCGTGGTCCTCAACCCTTGCCTCAACTAATTGAGCATGGTCTTTTCTTCTCTTTTCCTTTTTCCTTATTCTTCATCACCTTGTTCTGTCCACTTATCCTAATCATCAAACTCATTTTTGTCATTTTTGCCACAGTACTTTATCATGCTCTGTACTCCCTTAACTCCTTCCCTTTCTAACAACCTTTACCTTATACTATAACCCATCAGCTCCCCTTCTCTACCTTTTTCATTATCATACAGCCCTCTAGTACTGTTCAACCTATAACTCTACCCTAATTATTAACTCATTCCTAACCTTTTCCACGCCCCCAATCACTTACTCATTGTTGTAAGAGGCGGAGACTGAAGCCCAATGTAAGGATCACCCCTACCTTGGACCTCAGTCTTTGCCTCAACTCGTTTTGCAGGGCCTTCTCCCTCTTTCCTTTTCTTTCTCTTCATCCCCTTCTGTTCACTTATCCTATTTGTTAACCCATATTTACTCTTTGCCAGAATACTGTACCATAATGCTTTGTAACTTTTGATGTCTGGTACATTTGTTGGTTTTGACCATTGACCATTCTGGAAATCCACACACATTGCCTGACTGAACCAAAAAAATTTACTTAAGGCTTTGCCCCCAAGCCTCACCCTATTGCTATATTTTGAATTTGCTACTAATGACCATAGATGTTGATGCAGCAAGAAATTTTCAATAAATAAATGGATAACCCTTTTCATTACTATAATTTTCCATAATGCCATGAGGCCTTTGATATCAAATAGCACTTCCTTCCCTGGGGGGCTTTTAACCCCCAAGCCTCACGCTATTGCTATATTCTGAATACGCTGCTAATGACTTTAGAAGTTGATGCGACAGAAAATTCTTAATGAATGAATAAATGAAATAAGATTGACTATAAAAAACAGATGACTAAATGATCTCTTCATGTACAACCCCTGCTACAATATAAAAACAAAAGAATTAGAATATTACATGAAACAAATTGAAGACCCAAAACTAAACAGGTTTTAACCCATTGTCGCTGGGGAAAATGAACAAAAAATGGGGAGAATGCAGTACTCATATTTTATATTTTTGTGAAATATCTCTGTCCATAGATGGCTCTTCTAGCCTTGATTTCACCTGTCCTTGAATTGGCGGGATAAAACGTATTCTTACTAGTGCTATAAATATAGATGGTGTTATTTTTAACAGCAAATTAGGATAACGTTAAATATTTTCGTAAATCGATGAAAAGGGTGAATGGGTGAGACAGGCAGGACTTGTAATTGGCTCATTGGATACTTTGTAAAAGTGTAGCCATCTATGTGTAAAAACAATCGAACAAGTCGACTCACAGTGGGCATCACATTTACGTACATGCCATCCCCGGCGGCAATGGGTTAATGCTCATCATACAAGTTGCAACCCAATACTAAATACAGAATTAACAAACAAGACAGGCAAAATTTTTATGTGAAATAACTAATTAATATATAGTTTTGTTAACACATTCGCCAAGGATTTATGTTCTGCTCCCTGTAGATTTTGGTGAATTTTGTTACATACAGATGGCTCCACATGTGCTCAGCCGGCAAGGAGTCTATCGGTAGACCCTAGTTACCGACCCTGATTTTCCCATTCGTTGAATTGGTGGGAAAATTAATACCATTGCTTTCAATACTATTTTTATTGTTATTGACGCTATGCTAATTGAATTGTCGTTAGAATATTTTTGACAATGAAATGATACAAAAAACCCTTTCCTAAAGTGAAGGAAAAGGGTAAACAGGTGAAATAGGTAGTTCTTGATAACTGGCTATTTGGTGATTAAAAACTTGTGGAGCCATCTATGTGTAAATACAATAAATAAACGTGTATCAAAGTGGGTATGGCATCTATTCTTGCCACGTGTGGCGAATGGGTTAACACCAGGTCTGACAACAAGAATAGACTCTAGAAGTGCAAAAGAAAAAATAGACCTGTTCTAGCAAAACCATTACTAAGTCATTTAGAAATAGAAACATGCCTCATCCTAGGAAGTGCCCACCTCCTAGTAATCATAAAATATAATAATCCTACAAAAATCCCCCCCCCCCCCCATTCCATGCCTGTTGCTGCCATTGGGGGCTTAGGAGATGGGGACTGGGACCAAATGCTTGGGATCACCCTTGATTTGGACCTCAGCCTTCAATTCAACTAATTTTACAAGGTTTTTTACCTTTCCCTTTTCATTTCCTTCTCTTCTCCAACCCCTTCAACTATCCATTTCCTAAGGTGTGAGAGCCATGTTGAAAAGATGAAAGGCTGACTTTGTGCCAGTCATAAACATCCTGGGGGAGGTATGGCACAATATTCCCATTTAGTTATGTACCCCTTACTTGTCAAGGGGACCTTGAGGGGTGAACTATTTCTCTCCCCAACATATCCTGGACTTGCCATGGCCTGTAATGAAGACTTTGTACCATTAATAGGGGCATTAAGGCTCACCCCTTTATCAAAGAGCCCCACTGATTTCAATTCTGGTTCCTCGATCCCAGGCTCTCCTTTAACCACATGTGACTCTGAAGACTTCTGGTACTACCCACTCCTCAATACTCACTAACAGCTCAACTCAGTCCAAATCTCCATCCAGATCAGTTCTCAATCTCCAGGAACATTCCTCCTCTTTGAACATCCACTGCTTCATCTCTTCCACCTCCACAACTTTCATCATCAACTACCCCATCCTCCCTTATTATCTGCAACCTTATTGTACTAGCTCTATCAACACCACTCCATCTTCTAGATGTCCTTGTCCTTCTACTACCCCCACCTCTACAAATATCTTGAATACTCTGTTTAGCGCAGCCAAATGGGATCAATATTTGGTAATCCCCCCCCCATAGCCCCTCACCCTGACAACACTCCTCTTCCAGCAATGTCTTCATAAACAATTAGGCAAAGTTTCCTTCCACAACCGCCTGATTATTCCCAGCTTTTCAAAGTTACATTCAAATCCAAAGGTATTGCATTATCAACCGTAACTGCCTTCACTGGCAAACCCATTCCTGCCCAGCCTCATCCCTCCCTCAATACTTGTGCCGGAACTGTCTCCATCTCCCTGACAAACTGCCATCTACAAGGATTGGTCAGATTATGGAGGGACAGTATCAGTACTGCACCACACCATGCCCCTAAGAGGCTGTTGTATGTCCCCTAACCAGTATTGTCAAAAAAAAATTCTGTATGCATGATCTCCCCTTTAATCTTTACATTGGTGGAGAATACCTCCCTGTCCAATCATATCACCCTCCCTCCCAACAATGTCAGAATTGTTGGCATATAGGTCATCCTGCCAAATAATGTCGTTCCACAGTCCAATTCCCTCTCTGTGCCCAACTGATCTGCACAGTCATGCATGTGTGTCAACTGAGGCTGCTTTCATAATGTATTTTAAGGGCTGCCCAACCTACAAGTTTAAATATAAAGTGGTAAGTCTCAAATTCAAACTTGGTCTCACTTTACATGAAGCCAGACAGGAAGCATGTTGACGAGGTTTTTCTTTCACTCCCTACTCCAACGATTTCTCTGCCCCCTCCCCTTTTCTCCCAAGATATTTCTACATCTCCACAGCATCTCTTTCTCATCCTAATTTCTATCCCCTACTTCTAGTCAAATTCTTTTGCCGTTCTTAACCCAACACTGCTGGGTGAAGAAATTGAATAAAACCTCTACACTATGGAGATTAATGGCAACGAGTTGCTCAAAGCGTTTTGGCGTGTTGCCATGGCGTACAGCCTACTTCACAGACTGAGCAGTTTATTATGACACTGCAAGTGTGACCTGGCAGTAAAAAAATCAAGATATGCAAATGAAGGATGAGATTGGATTCATAGAGAATTGATTAATAAAGATGGAGAAAACACAACTTTTTAAAATAAAATTATGTCTTTTGAAATATACAGGATTAATATGCTATAGATTTGAAAATGATAACATAAATAAACCAATAAGCCAAGATGGAACAGGAGATACAACAAAATAACGAAATTAAGAAAAACAAATAGAATATAAAACACTAGTAGTAAAATTGAGACAGATAATAGAAAGAAAGAGAAGAGAATCTTGGTGAAAATGTTGTACCTCTTTAGATGTCAAGACCCCTTAAAAAAAATATGGACCTTAAAAGAAAAGCTAACTGGGAAAACAATAAAAACTAAATATCCACTAGTAGAGAATGATCTCCCAGTAACAGAGATGTGCAAAAAACTAACTTTACTCTAAAATGAATACTGAAAAGGAGTAAATATGAATCCTAAAAAGAAATCACCCCTCAAATCCCTTGCTTCTTGTTGTCTTGGGGGAGTTTAGGAGAATGTAGGAATCATCCCTTGGACCTCAGCCCTTGTCCAAACTAAGTTTGCATTGTCTTCTCCCCCTTTCCTTTTACTTCTCTTCATCCCTTCTATCAACTTCCTAAGGTATGAAGGCCATGTTGAAAGGATAAAAGGCTAGCTTCGTGTCAGTCATGGTCACAGTAATCCCTTGGTTAATTGCCTATCCCTTATTCCTCATGGAGACCCAAAGGGGTAGACTTTTTCCTCTCTCCATTCATTTTAAGCTCATTATGGCTACTAATGAAGATTTTTTACCCCTATTAGATTATTAAGGCTTGCCCCTTACATGAATTTGTTTTCATTGGTTTCACGACCCCTGCCTCTCCTTTGACCACAGCTCTGACCACTGATACTAATACCCCCTCCTCGATATTTGCTTTCAACTCTATCCATTCCAGGTCATTACTCAACTTTCAGAGTAAACCTTTCCTCTCAACATCCTCCACTCCATCTCCTACTGCACAGTCTTCTTCATTGTCTGCCTCCACCCCCCTTATTACTACTTTTCATCCTTACTGTCCTCCCAACAGTACTACCTCTCTCCATACCACTCCATCTTCCTGATGTCTAGCATATTTATTTAATCTAATCATTAACCATTAAAAAGAAATTGACAGACAAAGAGAGAGAGATTTTGCCACAGTACTTTATCATAATTCTTCTTACTCTCTTAACTCCTTTCCCTTCTAACAACCTTTATACTATACCCCATCAGCTCCCCCTCTCTACCCTTTTCACCACCATACTACCTGCTAGTACTGTTCAACCTGTAACTTTACTCTGATCATTAACTCATTCTTGACCCTTTTTGTTACCCTACTTTACCATAGTGCCATATGACCTTTGATGTCTTATAGCATTTTCTTACCTGGGGGCTTTGCCCATAAGCCTCGCACTAATAACCTTAGATTTTGACATGAGGAAATTTTCACAAAATATTTTTTTTTTCTTGGGAGCTTTGCCCCCAACTTCGACCCAACTATGTATATGCCACTAATGATCTTAGATGTTGATGCAGAGGAAAATTTTCAATAAAGAAAATAAATATTAAATCACAGACTCAAAAATCACAAACAGATCATATACAAAAAACAACATATATCAAAACAAAAACAGAACATCAAAACACAATGGATCTTGGACCTCAGACCCCCCCCAATCCCTTGCCTGTTATTGTTGTGGGGAGCTTAGGAGGCTCATAGCAGTTATCACCCCTGCCTTGGACCTCGACCCTTGCCTCAACTCTTGGCTTAACTAATTTTGCAGGGTCTTTTCTTCTCCTCCTTTCCTTTTCCTTCTCTTCTTCATCTTCTTGTTCTGTCCACTGATCCGAATTCTTAACTTATATTTACCCTTTTTGCCATAATGCTGTGTATTTGTTTGTTTTGACCATTGAAAACACTCCATTGCCTTGCTGAACCAAAAAACTTTACCTGGGGCTTTGCTACCAAGCCCTACCCTATTGCTCTGTTTTTTATATGCCAATAATGACCTTAGATGTTGACAGGGCAGAAAATTTTCATTGAATAAATAAACTGACCTCAGCCCTTGCCTCAACTAATTTTGCATGGTCTTTTCTTCTCCTCCTTACCATTTCCTTCTCTTCTTCATCTCCTTCTGCTGTCCACATATCATTATCATTAAATCATTTTTACCCCTTTTGGCACAATACTTCATGATAATGCTGTATGACCTTTGTCTAGCTCATTTATTCCCATATAAACTAAAAATCTCCCTCACTTAAGAGCTTCACCCTCAAGCATCAACCTGTTGCTGTATTTTAAATACGCTGCAAATAATCTTAGATGTTGGTGTAGAAAATATTCAATAAATAGATAGATAACATTCCAGTACCCAAGATTTAACTCCCACAGAGTAAAATTATTTGAATTATTAAAAAGGATAAAAATCAGTAATCCAATATGTTTCTTCTAATAACAGATGCAAAACATTCATTAGCTTAAGAAGTACTACATATTAAGACATGAAGATCTTACAAAGCTCAAAGTTAATAGGTATCATATAAATTCTCCAGTTAACAGAAGAAGAGCCAAGAAAATATAGATCTGGGAAATATAGACCTCAAAAGTCTGAAACTTTATAAAAGAAGAAGAAAGAAGTCTGCTTCAGCTGCTAGGCTAGTTTCTAGGTTTGCTGAACATAACCCTGGACTTGAAAAAGGTGAGCATTGTGCAATGCATTTGTTTTTAAAGTGCCACATTATTGTTGCTTTTTTTGTTTGTTTGTTTATTACTGTTTATTTCTTTTACTTGCATTCTTTGTGTTATCCATGTTTATATATATTTTTTTTCTATAAATTTCTTATAGGGCAAACAAGTAAAAAAGAATTCACAACCTTAACATGTTTTTCCTATATTTCAGGAACCAACTGACCACAAATGCAGAAGTACTGCATTTTGAGACTATAGTACAATACTCAAGAATAATAGACAAAAATTGAGTTAGAGAA